CTTCTGTAAAAACATCGTCCACAAGTGTCCCATCGGGGTATGAACGAAGCAGACAACATTGGAATCTAGTCCTGGTTCTGTACCGCACCCAGCCATTTAAAGAAATATTAAATCCAGATTTGTCGAGGTAGGCATCATTGTGTACAACGGTGGCAATTTCTACGCTAAGACCTTCTATACGTATGGTTTCACCAGGGGCAGCAACCCGGAAACTGTATACCAATAACACGGGTGACGTAGAACTTACAGGTGGCTTCAAACAAAAATAAAAATAAAAGGTAATATTGTGTGCACTCGTATAATCTTCTCTATTATTTATGGTATACATTCTTAACTTAAAGAGAAGTTTTATTTATTAAAGATTAAATCATATGGTTTCACCTTGTCTTTCCCCAGTGTATGCAAGTGTTATTCTCTATATCTAGATCGTAGCTACTGCTAATTTATTATTTTGCTGCATATCCTTTATAAGTAGGTGCACAGCTGAACTGACGTTTGTTTAGTGTTCACAATTTTACTAAGCAAGTTTTTTCCACCCAGTAGTTTGAGATTTTGGTGATATCTTCATCAATCGTAACTACGGCGTAACAGTAGTTTTTATGACACCTTCCCTATCAATGTTGGGCGGCGGATATCAAATCTGACTGCGCATGTTGTGCTAACAGATTCGGGAGGAAAGAAACATCAGGGAGAATACTAACTCTATCCTAGGACGAGGAAATGCAACAATGGCAGGACAGACCAAGCCCGTAGGTTTGGTTTTCAGCTGGTCTAAGAGGAAAGCTTTGACATGCTCGTCTGATCCAGCAGCTTCAAAAACATTGGTGTTATCTCTCCTTTCGAGAAAACAAGGCAGGCATGGAAGGAATCATGATTCGTGGGCAACACATGGTCTCTAAAACAATGCCTAGGTTTTGTGCTTTAGAGAGGAATAATTTGTTCCTGCCCTTCCCTGGCTGTGATTCCTATGCCTCAATATATATATATATATCAAACCCGGTATAACACTATTGTCTGGAAAGATGAAAAGACGAAAAAGGTGACAGTTAATGTATTAGACCAAAATTCTTTGTTCACTTCCTTACTATCTCCATTGTCTGAAGCGGATAGGAGGCTGTTAAGATGTTTTCAGTGACCGTCTAAACAGCATAGTCATCGACCAGCATTGATTCTATATAATTTCCCAACATGTAGGCCAGGGGCACTATGCAATAATGTCAGTGACGTAAAACACGAACAGATCCGGCCCGAACGTTGACCCTGCACTGACACAGGCGGTCTCTCAGTTTTACTGACTTGCTCAAACGGCTATCCATTTATAATGATCCAATCGTTGGTGCCGAACATTTATCTTGTTCTTGTCAATGTACATTTTGTGAACAACTGCTGCTTGAATAACTTTCAGCCCGAGCTCTCCTTTGAATCAGTGTCTTTAAGTACTGGAACATTTCAGTAGAAATATATACTATATATATATATATATATATATATATATATATATATATATATATATATATATATATATATATATATATATATATATATATATATATATATATATATATACTAGCTGTACCCGGCCACGCGTTGCTGTGGCATAATTTGGCTAAATGGAAAATAGAGAACATAGAAATGTGTCTTCGCTTCATGCTAGCGATGTACATTGCAACAGCTTAACCACAGCTCATAAAACTTTGAGTGGGTAAGGCAGTTACTGTAACTTAAATCTATCTCAGTAAACAGTTTATTTTAACCACCCATCCCCCAGTTCATCTTCTACTTTATCCCTCATCGAAGTAATTGGAAAATTACCCTAGTGAAAAGCAAAGAAAACAGGAAAAATACACCATAATTACGAAATGAACACATTTGCTAATTGCTGTAAACTACCCTGCACACTTTGCTACAGTAGAAAATGAAAGAAAATCGCTTTAACAAAATGTAATTATATTGGATCATTGTGCCGATTTCATATCTTTAGGAAAAAACAGGCAAATTAAAATGACAATGTGTTTACTGAAGTGCTTTCAGGTAAACAACGTTCTTTGTTCTTCTGTCTGGCGCGTACACAAATAAATCAAAAGGTTTTCCGACGTGAGAACTGGCCACATATAGCTGTCCATGAGAAAAATATGGATGTTCCAAATGTAGTCCACACACTTGTAGCATTTGTCCCTTTGATTTGTTTATGGTCATTGCAAAGGCGAGTCGCACCGGAAACTGCAGGCGTCTGAATTCAAATGGCATGTCGGTTGGAATCATTAGGATGCGTGGCAATAGTATATTCTCGCCCATTTAAAAGTGTACCTTCGATGATATTGGGCATCAGCTTTTTCGCTGAAAGCCTGGTACCATCGCAAAGTCGTGGCGGATTGATGTTTCTGAGAAGAATGATAGGCACGCCAATCTTCAAGGTTAAAACGTGGGGTGGCATGCCTGGCAAATCAAGTGACTTCAAGAACTCAGTTGGATAATTGACAACCTCATCCTTATTCATTATAGTATCGATAGACTTATACGTTGTCACTTTGCCTGGTAATTTCTCTTGGATGTTCAGAGTCATGGCATAGCACATCCTTGTTTTTAGCTGCTAAGATAGCACGTTCACTGAGCCACTGATGATTTATGTAATTCTGTGTGATATTAGGGAAAGCTTCGTCCCATATAATGAGTTGACATACTTTGAGTACTTTACCCATTGCAGAATCATTGTTGATATTGCATGTTGGTGTCTCAGTGATATGCATATTGAAAGGCAACTTCAGTGCTGAATGCGCTGTTCAGCCACCGTCCAAAAGAGTTGCGGCAAATCCAGAAGATGCGATTGCCAGTGCAATATTATTTTGTGACCGTATGGATGCCAAAATAAGCGAAATGAGAAAGGTCTTGCCTGTGCCTCCAGGTGCATCTATGAAATACAATCCTCCGTGTTGTCTTGTAACGGCATGCATAATTGTGTCATATGCTATACGTTGTTCTGGAACCAATTTTGGAAGATTTGTTTGAACAAATGTACCTAATTTGGTGACATCAAAGTGTGTCTCTCGTTGCAACTCATGATCGAAAAGGTTGTTTGCAGATCGTTCTGGTGGAGCCCGTCCCAGCTGAACGAGTGCTTTATTAGTTATTGCCAAACATATGTCCTCAATGCAAACCAATGCCTCATTATATACATTTGGTGTGAATTGAAGGTCCTGATCTTGCTCCGTTTCACGCCAGCGATGTAGGATGTCTTCACTAATGTAGTCTTTGTATTTTTCCCAAAGCCCATGTGGATTGGATGAGAAGCAAGGTGTTAATATTATTGCAAATAATGTGCGTATTTGCTGTGGTCGAGCAGTATTCGAAGCATCAGCGAGTGAAGTGTTCCAATGTGCATCATTTTCAAGAAGATTTAATTCTTGGCAAGCTTCACAGTAAGTAGCACATACTTTTCCATAAACTGTTCCCAAGTCCTGGAAGGATGTCGATCCCTGTTTGTTGAGTAAAAGTAATCGCAAGTAAAAGCAATCTGCATTTTTGAGATGAACGGCCTAAAACATCAGTAGAATATAAATTAGGATGTCCGCCAACCGCTTGACCTTGCTTGCAACGTTGAAACATTTTAGCTGATCCATTCCACGTGTAGTATGTTGGCAGGTCAGAATAAAGCAGTGTCTTTGCAAACATATCATCTCTACACAATGAGAAAAATCAGTTAACGTGGTTGGCGGTGGTAACAATGCTCGTGCATGTGCATTTTCTGTAGTGAAGTACACGCGCTGTCCATTGTCAAGGTGCACTGCCAAATGAACAACTGCTGGATGTCGTTCATGAATTGGAAATGACAAAATACCGCTTCATTGCTACTAATGTAGCGCCCCAGCTGATATTGCTTGATTTCATTGATTGATGCAGCTGCATGTCCCACTCCAAAGACTGCCATATCGCCTTCTTTGTTGACATATTTGCAAATGTACTTATGTTTGCCAAGAAATGTGTCGACTGGCCTGTGTCACCTGCTACGAATGATGATAATGGTTCGGTTGGTGAATGTAATACTGGCAATTTAACGTTTCCACCAGCGCAGCACATACCCGGCAGGTCATTCTTAAATTTGAAGGCACTGCAATGTTCGCATAATTTATCCATTTTGCCAGTAAGCACCTGTGGATGAAGACTGTAATCATAATTGCTGTTGTAATGGAATGCACGAAGATTCAAATCAACATGCAGTGTTCGCATGGATAAAGTAGTGCGCATTCGAACGGTGTCCAGTCTTGCTTTCCGTTGCTCGACTGTGTCTGGTAAACGGACTTGAGCAATGAGTACTCTATTGGTTTCCAGTCTCGCTTCTCGATGCTCGATCTGGCTTCAGCAGTGTTCACTCGAACGTTTTCTAGTCTTGCTTTCCGTTGCTGGTCTGATTGAGATGAACGGGCTTCAGCAGTGCGCACTCAAATGGTTTCCAGTCTTACCTCACGTTGCTCGTCTGTTTCTGAAGCAATTAATGCCCTTCTCTTGTGTGTTTTAGGTGTAGATGGGCCAATCGCTTGTCGTTTGGGAAGCATAACTGCAAATTTTGTGAGCGCTGATCATCAATAGCTTGTTCGTCTTCACGTACTATATAAAATGTGACTTGAAGTATCGCTGAAATAAATGAAAATATGAGCATGAGATAACAATCTATTTTGACTCAAGACGAAATGCATAGAAACTGGGCAGAAAATAGTAAGAAAAGGGGGTATAAAAGACAATATGAGAAAGCCAACAGATAATGTGCATACATTTATCATTGTGGGATTTAAGGAAAGTTCTACACATGTATTTGAAGTTGAAAAATGTACATAATTATTGATGTCAATGAAATAAATGCGCTCACCTGTTGAGATATTTCTAGATTCGGCTCTACTGGCAAATCCGGACGAAGAATAAACAGCCTTGGACGACTTAGTCAGAGTTATCTCCCGTCGCCGCACTCCGAACAGTAATCGGAAAACAAACGAAACACTTACCTATCA